GTCCACAGTGTAACACGCTGTAACTTCTGTAACGCTCCATGGAGAAGGGAATTTGGGCTGAATACATCAAGTGTGTCTCACCTGTGGTTTCAGGGTAAAAGAACTGGCCGAGATAAGGTGCGTCCAAACCAGCGGAAGTAAGATGATGTGCATGTCTTGTTTTCTTTTAAAATTAACTCTTCAGCTACCAGTGCAGACTAATTTAACTTACTGTTTTCCTGGTTTGTTTGCTGCAAGCTGCCTACGGTGTAATATGTTGTGTTTTTATCAAAGATATTAAATGAAGCAATTTGAATGTAAACCGAACATTAATCCAGTGCCTGGAATGCCATTTTCAACCTCAGCAGTTTTTAATATCCATAAATAAAGGTGGATTGAAGTAGGATTCTGCTGTTTTCAACTTTAGTCATGCTAAGAAGAGGCAAAATATCATTGCTCTTTTCCAGTAAACTTTTATGAATCATTTGAATTTATGTCCCTTCTGTCGTTGCAAACTGTTTTTGCTCTGGGAATCTGGAAGAGTACGTTGGTTGCATGGCATTTTCTCTCTACGATATTCAAGGCATATCGGATATAAAACTGATGCTGGAGCTCGGAGAGAGCGTGTTAAAACGTTTCCTGTTCTTGACCTTATGAGAGTGCACTAACACACGCTGTAGCTGGCTGTGGGTACACAGAAACCACAATACCCATTTCTGTGCTCTGCTTCTACAACTGGTGAAAGAAGAGCTATTGAAACTGCTTTTTATGAAATACGCTTTCCTCCCAGCAGAACCTGTAGGCGGTGATTCTGGTAGCTCTTCCTCCTTTCAGATCCTCCTCTCTGTCTAATCCAGGGGTTTTTCATGTTGTTCCTTTTTCCTAGCCATAGCCAACCATCAGAAAACCTGCTCCTCTTCAGGAAGCTGAGTTTGTTTAGATAAACACGTGAGAAAATCCATTTCTTGGGCTATTTATATGGCCACGGAGTCAGCTGTAGGGAACGAGACATCTGGATGTGGCACCACATCTGGGCACCTTCCTCTGTGTGAGTGCAGATCCACTGCCCTGCTCTTCAGTGTCGTGTGTGTAAAGCTCTACATCACAGACTGCTCTCTTACACACGGTTTATCTATCCCTGGGTCTCCTTATTCCTCTGTGGTTAGCCCTGTTGTTCAAACAACGTTCACAGGAGCTCTGGAAATCACTTCTGTCCAATATCTGTCCTATTTTTGGTGCGTAAGTTGGCCTTAACAGAGCATAAGCCTTAAACAGATACTTTTCCCTTCTACTAAACAGTAAAGCTGTGCATCATGAGCAATCCTGGATGCAGAGGGTCCGGTCAAAGTAATGACATGTGCTTTTACATTTCATTTTTGCAAATTAAAATGAATCAGTAATGTGATGTTTTCTCCAGTATCTTTATTTTTATTGTGCTCCTCTCCTTGACTGTACTTAACAGTAGTTTTAGTTTGTAGTTCCCTCTCTGAAGTATCTGAAATATAGAAATTGTTCTTCATGTGAAAAACAAGGTCCCACATGTTGAAGTATTCAAAAAGCCGAGGAAAAGTGCTTTTCTAGCAAAATACCTGTTCAGCAAGTTATTTCCCACCAGTATTGCTGTGTGTGAAGAAAGTTTGCAAGTCATCACATTGTATATAACGACATTAAATTACTCCAGTGGGCACAGCCAACTAAATATTCAACCAGAGGGTGAGATGAATATAATTATATATTGCAATACATATATATATATTATTGCAATAAGGTGCGACAACAGAAATTCTGCAGAGTTTAATACAAAGCAGTTTTGGTACTTGAAGATATTTTCCTAATTCTTTAGTCATGACCAGAAATCATTAGTTGAGTTTCTGAAATATTTTTGTCTTGCCTCATATTTTGGGTTAAGTTCTCTAATACAAGGGCAAGGTTAAACACTTCCCTTAAATCCATCAATATCGATTATTAGTGATGAGTTGTGACATTTCTGCTGAGCGTAGAAACTTCCATGAAGCTGATAAGAGCTGTTTTGGTTTAGGTTTGTACCTCAGGATGAATTGAATAACATGGAATATGCACAGCAGCTAATTCTCGAAGACAGGTAATAGATCTTTCAAGGTTTATTTCCTGAAGATGTCTCACTGTCCCATCAAAAACTTGGTGGCACAGGTAGCATCTGTAATGGCTTGACCATGTTTATCCAGTTTTATTTCCATGCCTATAGCCTAATTTTGTTCCAGTAGCTCTGGAATTTATTTTGTTTAAGTAGTACTAAGAAGAAGACAAAATTATATGCCTGAGGCTAAATCATAATCGAAACATCTTGCAGTAGTATTTTGGGAAGCTCTTAATGGATCATCTGTGAAATGTTTTGTTTTGGCTTATTATTGTTTCCTGTTATTTTTCCTCCCAGTACATGCTTGCCAGCACTGAAATTCCCACTACGTTTTCACTAGGACCTTAAGCCAAAAAGCCTTTAAAAGGAATTCACGTGCTAAATGTGAAAAACGTTTTTTTGGCATTCTCATGAACAGGTCAGTGGCTGAAGGGAAATAGGGACCTTAGATAAGGTTATGATAATTTAATAAGGTCCTTTGGGTCCACGAGTCAGCCTGGTCTTTCTCCAGCGTTTCGTGAATGCTGTGTTCCTACGTCTCCTGACCCACCTGAGCAAACAGGAGACACCCCCTGTTCTCCTTCAAAATCTGTGAAAAAAGAAATTATCGACTTGAGAACGACATCTAATTTAAAAAAAAGACAGAAAATAGAAGCAGAGGAGAGCACCTCTAGCTCACTGAATGCAAATGTTTTCTTGTGAGGGTGCAGAGAGGCTCTGGTCTCTCATATTATTTTAAGATGCCGCCTTCAGATCCTGACAGCTTCATCTCACGTGTGTTTGATCCGAGTGAGCGCGGTGTCTTCAGCTGTGGGAGCCAGCAGAGGGCACAGGAGTCTGCTGATGAGTCTGCTGCCGCCTTGGCTTTTCTCTTTTATTTTCCTTTTTTTGTTTATTTTTCCTTTTTTTCCTCCCTGTCCCAATGTTGGGTTTGTACCCAAAGAAACTGCCTTGGAACAAAACCTGATTTGTTGTTTCGAATGATACATTTTTCAAACCTACCCAGTGGGTTTAAAATATCAGAAATAAAGCTGGGGTTTTCCATTCACAGCCTGATTTGGATCTCCCAGTGCTGAAAAGGCGGATATTGAAATTGTTTCTTTTATCACAAGAGAATCTTTTATCTGAGATCCCGTATGTGAGAGCATCACAAAGACATGGCCAGCAAAGCTGCTCCTTGAAACCATTTCTTCATCCTGTGCAAATAAAGGATATTAGGATTTTTCTTCTTTCCCTTGTTTTGCTTATGGTTCAGTCTTGTATTGTGGCTTTGAAAGGAGCTTTGTCCGGACAAAATGCTCCATTGCAGACCCTGGATTTGTCCCAGCAGCCGGATCTGCTGATGGGCCATCCCTGGCAGAATCGGGGATTTAGGCTGATGCCCAGGACTGGCTCTTCCCAAATATTTGCACAGCACATGGTCCTGCTTAGCCTCGCCAGGAGCTGCTCTCATGCAAGCAAGTAATAATAGTGGTGGAAGAAATGCCACGTTTTAAGCTGTATTACAATGAAATAGAATTACATTTAAAAATATATCAAAAATATATACCTGTGGCAGGTGCATGACTTTCCGCATTTATAAAGTTGCAGGGAGAGTGATCCAATCTGAGTTTGCTTTTCAGGTAACGTGGTTATCTCAGAGGTTTACCTGACGTTCCTACCTGCAGTGGTACAGGGCTGGAGTCCATACATAGAGTTGTCCCTTTCAATCACATGGTTTTCAACTGGTCTGGGGAGGGAAAGGGTTGTATCTTCCAGTTTCCAGTGAGGCTGCCAAAGGTTTATGCCCAGCCAGGCTTTTAAGGTGATTTATGGTGAATAAACTTTCATTTCTGTCATTTTCTTTACCAGTAAAACAGTGATAATATGCAAATCCTGCCCTTTTGCAATGCGGTCAGAAAAGCAGTTATCCTTAAATGTCAAGCATGTGTCAATGGCACAAGGTAAATTATAATATTAGAGGTTATTTACCAGACCAACGCACTAGATAGATGGGGGAAAGCACTTATATCCCAAAGTATCATTAAACCTTCTTGGCTTTGCTTCTGCTGGTATATGGGGTTACTGTGAGAAAAAGAGGGATATTATGTTGTAGCCTGCATTATCTTTCGGTGAGTCTTACTTTTTTCTCTTCTATTAACTTTTGAGATTTGAAATGCAACTTACTTGAGCAATTACATGGTGTCTCATATGAAATACTGAGACTGTTGCAACCCTCTGCAAACCAGACTGTCTTGCCAAGGCAGAACCTTTGTATGTAATATTTCCCTTCCTCCTTTTTCCAGATCAACACTTGATTGAAAATCAAAGTTGATTGTATTGCTGGTTTGAAAGTGGCCATGTTCATCTGCATTAATTCTCATGTTGTGTTCTTTTTTTTAACCTAGGTTATTTCTTCTTAATGCATGTCAAAGATTTCCTAACTCTTGCTATGCAGTGACTTTAAGAATTAGATTTTGAAAGAGAATGCGTTGAAGAGACTGTTTATATCCTAAAACACGCTGTGTAGATTATAGCATGGTGTTTTTGAAAAGCAGTTTCCTGTATTTCAAAACAAAAGTACCAGACAAGCCTGCTTTTGGCATGAAAAGAAGTGATTTTTTTTTCCTTTGGCTTTGATTTTTGCTTTGGTTTTGCTCTTCTAACCAGATAAATATATCTGCTTTTATCTGGTTACACGTGAACACAGTTTTCCACTTTAATTCACTCAATAACGTCCAAAAGTATTGCTGGAATGAGTCCTTGAAGTTGTGTCTGCGCCAACTTTGTTATGCAGCCTTTCTCCTGGGAATGCCGCCTCAAATACGGTCATCTCCAGTTCTAACCTTCACCGTTCAGCCAAACAAACGGGCTCCTCCTCTTACTTTCCTGTTTTTGTGTGTGTGTGTGTGTGTGTGTTCTTCAGAAAGCCAAACTTGGGCCAGCTGGTAACAAAGTCATTACCCCAACAGAAGACAAGAACTCGAGTCTGCCCTCCAACAACCTGGACAGGGTGAAGCTGACGGACTTCAACTTCCTCATGGTTCTTGGAAAGGGGAGCTTCGGGAAGGTAGGGATTCTTCATAGCTATTCCACTCTCCTTTTTTCTATTTTATTTTCTTGAGGAAGAATTAATGAATAATTCTCTAAGAAGCAAAATCCGGAGACAAAAGGATGTGTGTTTTTGAGGGAGGATCTCTGAACACGGAGTAGGGTGATTCCCTCAGGACTCGCAGCCTTCAGTCATCATGGGGCACGTTCCTTGGAAAAGTAAAAACTAAAAAAACAAGTTACTGACTTGTACATCCTCACTTCTTCAGTTTCAAGGAAATAAAGTCTACTTTTCTGGCTTTACTACCTAGGTCGCTCTGCCAGTTCTGAAAGTCACCAAGATTGATAAGGCTGAATATTGGCAAAAAACAAGGATCGTATACATATATATATATACACACATAGATATGTTTGAAGTGTGTTAGCTGAAAGAAAGGACTGCTGTTTTTCTGTCAGTTTGAACAATCGCTTAGATGATAAAGTGCCCTTTACTGAAGAACTCCCCTGGGAGTTAACATTTTATCAGCCCTTTGGCAAGGTGCCTGCCGTAAACCAGGGGTTTTGGCACGGGCTTTGTCTGAAATGACTGGTGCAGCTCATTGCAGTGGGTGAGTAACGGGGATATTTTTGGAGTTTTGATCAAGTTGGTCTGTATCAATAAAAGGAAAAGCTGGATTGCCGTCTATACAAATCTTCGGGTGTATGAGTCACCTTCCCTCCTTGGCAGGTAGGAAGATTTTCACCCTGTTGTTTCTCTTTGTGCAGGTGATGCTGGCAGACAGGAAGGGGACAGAGGAGCTCTATGCAGTCAAAATACTGAAAAAAGATGTGGTGATTCAGGATGATGATGTTGAGTGTACAATGGTTGAAAAACGAGTGCTGGCATTGCAAGACAAACCACCGTTCCTCACACAGCTTCACTCTTGTTTCCAAACAGTTGTACGTGAGCTCTGTCTTTCTTGCCACCCTGATGTTCTCCATTTTGTATAATCCTGTTATCAGTTCAATAACATTTATTATCATCCAACCTACATATCGTCGTTTCTGTGCATATAAAATGGTGAATAAAGAGATACCACACGTAATTACCCCTTGTATTTTAACTGCAAAACCTAGGTGCAAAGATTTTTCTTCATACAGTAACTCAAGCAGACCAGTGTGCCAATTCCTAAGTTCAGTAGTGTGTGCTTTGCTAAGTCACAGCCTTAAGCCCAGATTCCCAAAGGTTCCTAAATACTTTTAAGGATCTGAGGATAGTACTTGCAAAGTCTCAATGGCCGTTATTATATCGTGAGCTGATTAGTCATGAATCAATGGTGACGGATTTAATTTCGATTTCTGGCACCCCCGGCACAGAGAAAAGCGTTGGGGGTTTTTCTCTTCCTTCCATCTGAGTATGTGAAGTGGACACTTCCCCATCACACTGCAGACAATCCAGCAGCACCATGGCGGTCTGGTGGGTGACGTGGAAAGCCACGTGGTGGACAGTTGGCACCCAGTGTGATTGTGGTTTTCGGAGTGGGCGTGGGTACCCCCTGACACAAGTTAACTGACCCCAGATTTTCCAAACTTGGTAGAGGCCTTTCTTCACATGAAATCAAGGCTCCTCTTGTCTCACCTTGTAGCCACGCTGTGACAACGGCCTTAAACCAGTGCCCCAGGCTGGGTGTCACTTCGTGGGGTGACAAAAGGACATATGTTGTTTTCCCACTCGACTGTTTCCTCTCTTCTCCTTCTTACGTTGTTGATGGGTTTTAATCTAAAACCAAATGAACAAACAGGCAGTTAATGTGAAGTAATAACGCTGTAATGTTCCACAAACAAGCCACGTCATCCCGTCACCATTTCACAGCATAATTGTCTGCGTTGATAGAGGCATTTTCAGACTCTGTTTTATGTCTGCAAATCTCCGAGCAGAAAATGGCCTGAACGCAACAGATTTGCAGACATAATTAATCACAGTAAAACATGAATCTCTTGCTTTCTAAAGTATTTTTCCTGCCTCTACTTATAATATGAAGATTGTTGTAATAAGTGAAGTCCTAGTGAGAAATAGACTTCTATCTCCCTCTAATTCTTTATCTCTATATAACCTCATTAGGAATGAAAAAGCTTATTGTTATCAGTAAATGAAAATCCACGTTGTTTAATCTTATCTTTCTTTTGAGCAGCTACAATTTAAAAGTAAATCCCAATAGTACAAATGTCCAGTGTTCTCAGGCTAAGGGGAAGGCAGGAAAAAAGTTGGGTTTTTCAGTATTTACAGTATTTTTTTTGGTTTGTCATGTACAAGAGCAATGGAGCTGCATAAAGGCCTAGACAAACCATTAACACCTTTGCCTAATTTACTTTGTGTTTTCCAAATTGTTGAGTAGTTTGTACTTGGTGCTAGGAAGGTCACTGGGTGGAAAAATACTACCTAAGTGCACTCCAACTGTTATGGTCGTGTTTGATTTGAGATGCCTGGAAATGGCCTTTAAAACTCCTCACCGGGCAAGAAAAATCTCCCTCCAAAATACCCTACTGCCTCTGGCTGAAATACGTGCCTGTGAGAAATTAATTTAGTGTCATTTGCAAAGGTTCCAGATACTTCTGTAAACCCTGCAATTATCTCTCTTTTTGCCTCTTTTTAAATAATAATAAAAATGTATTTTTCAATACCTCCCATCTTCCGAAAGAAAACTTATTAGGAAGGATTAGAAATGGCCTCAAAGCAAGAATTTTCAACCATCTTTAATTTTTTTTTCCCCACTTATTTTTAGAGAGGCAGACTTTTCAGCCAGAACTATATGAGAATAATTATGGGAACCATTGCAGACAAGTAATATATCAAAGCACATCACTAAAATTGGCAGATCCAGACAGACCTCCTCAGTCATTCACTCTTGCAGGCTCTACCACACATTCCACTGCCATTTCCTGATCTATCGATGTTGCCAGAATGTACAACCAGTCCTAATAATCCTGAAAGCTTTATAATAACATATTAGTGACTTTTTGGCTGATCAATGCATACCTCATGTTTTCTCTAATGTCTTTATGTGCGTCTTTAATACTTTATCCTAGGACCGCCTGTATTTTGTTATGGAGTATGTGAATGGTGGGGATCTCATGTATCACATTCAGCAAGTAGGAAAATTTAAGGAGCCACAAGCAGTGTGAGTGTTCACGTTTATGTATTTAAATCACGTCATCATCTTCATTTTATACTATAAGAGGATTAGGTTTCTTCTTCTTCCCAGATGCACTATGAAGTCTATGCTGGCCTTTTTTCGATGTGTTTTTAAGGCCCAAAAGCTGAAGTTTCTGTTAAAAATGTTTGCACACATGGACCAAAGGTAGCTCTGCCTTTTTGTTCAGAAATACAAACAAAGGCGTGCAATGCCTACTTTAAAAGTGACAAGAATTCAAACAAGGCGACAGGAAATTAAAAATGTTGCTTGGTATTCTGGTGTTGTTTTTAAAAGCAAATATAAAGAAAAAAGTGAGTGGAACATTTCAGTCTGAATTAATGTTATAAGGAAAGGCAATACAAATAGACTCAGCAATGCAATATAAATTATAGTTTGTGCAAGATAAATTTTGTGTACAGCTTCTAAGAATTTCTGTGACCCTGCTTTTTTATAGAAGTTTTGTTTGCGAGAAGTTAATAAATGATTACAAGTTGTTTATATACACCATCCCTTTTAGGTAATTGTACATCTTGGCGTATCAGCGAGCAACTGATAATGATCTGTAGCATATTGAAATGGGAATAGATCCATCAGTACCACTTTAGTCACGCTTATAACATCTCATCACCATTTATTAGTGTTTCATAAGTCATTTGCCAATGAAACTCTAAAATCAAGTGTGACCAACTGCTTTAAGAATTCAGCTAAAATCATTTCTCCTTTCAATTTAAATCATCAGGGCTTGTTTAAATGAGAGAGGCCTTCTAAATAGACGTATTTGAGATATAAAACAAAATGTTAACAGCTCGCTGTATAAAAGCAAGAAGGTGTCAGATCATCCCTGACTCCCAGCTAAGGAACTTGCCAACACCCATTGCAAACCCTGGTGCTTTTTGACAGCTTACGCCTGTGGAGCATCTTCCAGCACAGGCGTTCACCAACACCTCTGATCGAGTGGCTCAGAGCTAAGCTTTCCTTCCCCTTATGCTAGCCTAAAAATTAATCTGATCTTTAAATAATCCTCTTGCATATAATTCGCACAGTTCCACAGCAACTGACTTCAAACATCCATCAATATTATATATCCTTTAACTACATTCAGCAATTATATTTTATATGGTAATCATTTTAATAAGCTCTATGTAATTAATCCATTAACAGGCCGTATAAAGGAATACCATTTCTGCAAATTATTTCATGCCATATGAATCACAGTGTAAATTGAGCAGCATCCTGAATTCAGCATTGATATGTGATTAGAGATAATGACCTTTGCAGACAGAGCCAGATCAGTGCAGTAAAATGCTGTGCTCCAGCTGCACCACTTTTTTGAGGCCTAGGGAGACATTTCCATTATTTTTTTGAAATTCTGCATTATTTTATCATCAAATACTCAAAAAGTATCTCTTCAGTCAACTTGAAGGTGTTTTTAATGTCATCTGCCTGTAATATATATTTTTATACTTTAATATATATATTATATACTTTATGTGCTACTATGCTATCATTCCTTACCATGATGCGTTTCCAAAGCACTTTGTCAGAAGGAAATCATGAGGCAGTAAGAAATCTGTTGGGTTTATTTTTCATGCAGGTTCTATGCAGCTGAGATCTCAGTTGGGTTATTCTTTCTCCACAACAGAGGGATTATTTATAGGTGAGTACAATCTGACACAAGTAATTTCTGAGCTATTTTTAAAACTGTGAAAGGATTGGTTTCTTTAATATTTCGGTGTATTTTTAAAACATTTTATAAAGGCAGTCACTCTAGTGCTTTTTTGGTTGTGTTGGTGCTGGTGTGCTGTGAAGCCCCTGCTTTACCTGAGCTTCTTTGCTCTCTGCGCTCTGCTCAACTCAGCTGAAAACTCTTGGAAATGTAACATGTTTTGTACATTCCTGTGCGATCTTTAATAGTTTTACATGTTCAGAATTCTCTCTTTTTATTATTAGTGCAATTTCAATTATGGTTGTTCTTTTGTGTCTGCAATGAGGTGCCCAGCTCTGTCCTGGCTGTACTGTGCCCTGCGTGTGCAGCCCCGTCCCCTCTGTCCCCAGCAGAAGTAGCTAAGCTGGCCCTGGTTGGTCCTAAACATTAACATTCAATTACTGTCATTCTTCATAGAGATCTGAAGTTAGATAACGTGATGTTGGATTCAGAAGGACACATTAAAATTGCCGACTTTGGAATGTGCAAGGAACATATGTTAGATGGAGTAACAACCAGGACCTTCTGTGGCACTCCAGACTACATTGCACCAGAGGTAAATATTTACCATTTCAAGAACCTTTTCGTCTCTGAAATGGAACTTGTCACTACTCACATCTCAGGACCAAGTTGTGATAGCTGTAACTCTGGTACCATTTATACTTCTGCAGTTGTATTGGATTACTTTGTGAATTAATACAGTATTATCAATAAGACTTCTCTATTTTAAAGCATACCTAGTTGATCGGAAACCTAATTTTTGTGAGATCAGTGCTTCAAATTTTGTTCATAATAACAGAAGGCTGAAATAGCTGGATCACCACCTTGTGAGTTTAAATTTGTAGCCTGGAAATGTTATTATGCTAAACTTTGTGCTTCAATTTGTGCAATCACAGCAAGTTCATGGGTGTTGTTGAGGTTGTTGATGAGGTCAGCAATCATTTTATTGGGAGCAAACGTAACATCTTTAATGTGTTTCTCCATAAGTTCACACAGCTGACAAAATGCATCGATTTAAAGGATTGTTTGACATTTTCAAAATCACAAACTACTCATTGGTTTTTGAGAAGGGATTTGTGAGGTCTTGAAGCTTTGCGCTGACCTCCTTGAGTTCCTGCTCTCAGGAAAGCTCCAGTCATGAGAGCCTGAACAAAGCTGTAAGATCAGGGCTTGAATGGAGTCAACATAATAAATCTATAATTTGCCTTGAGCTTTCTGTGATTTGGTGAAACCTGGGCTGCATTCAAAGCACTGAAAATCACATTCAAACATGAACCTAACTGCAGTGGGTCGAAAATGAAAATTTGATGATGAGAAACACAGATGTACTTTAAAGCACTGTGATAAATACGAGCTTAGAGTTCAGATTTCTAGTCTAAATATGATTTGTGTTTCAATAGTTTAGGTATAAAACATTAGAAACAAGCACATGTGGTGGTTTGGAAATGATTCAGCTATGTGAATATTAAAATCTGGTGTTTGTGCGTACTGAGCTTTCAAGAGTCTTGATTTGTTTGGCTGCAAATTGAATACAAGAGGCTGGATCCTGATCCAAGATACTCAGTTTTTCACTGAGTGCTGGGCAAGAGGCAGCGCTGGCTGGGACCTTTCTGGCTGTAATCGAATATTTGTTGGAATATGGGAGTTTTATACATGGACAACTAAATTAGTGTCCAAGGTGAATTTTGTCATCTCTGTGAAATTGGAATGAAAAATAGTTTGGGTTGGTTTTGGTTTTTTTTCCTCAGTTGCTAATTCATGTTTTTCAGAGTGAAATATTGTGTATTATAAAATCTTGGGTTTTCACAAATTGCAGTTGCCTACAGCAGGATATCAGGGCAACCAGAGCAGTATTTCATTTTCCCCCGTCAAAACAGAAATGAAGCCAATATTACAAATTTAAAAATGTCCTTTTTGTGGCGATAGTCTTGTGCCAGTTACCAAACAACGTGGTGTCAGTGCCAAAATGCTCAATATGGGTCAGTGTTGGAATGATTTATTTTATTTTATTTGGAAATTTCATATAAAGAAACGTTACCAAAACAATCAGTAGCTGGAAGGAAATCAGTCTTTCTATTATCTTACAAACAGAGTATTTTATGTTATTTAGTTGGCTGATTTTCTTTCGTTTCTGAAGACATTATTATGACTGACAAATTGCTCACTAGGACTGTGGTAACTTCAAAGTAAGCTTCCTGTTTTGCTTGCAGGAGCATTTCCGTCTGTTTCCATGGGCTAAATCTTATCATAAGTAATGAGGATGCACATCGCCATTCCCTGCGGGGTGGATAGAAATGAGCTAAATCTAAATGAACTGTTGAAGGTATCTGGAGTAGAGTAGTCCTGCGAGTGTGTGGCACTCAGATACAGAGAATTAGGGAGCTTCACACATGAGGTCTCCACACAGAAACGCAGGGGCATATGGTGCCACATTGAGCAAAGTGGGCTTGCACGCTTTGGTGCATTTGTTATTACCGAGGTGTATAATCCACTTGAAATAATATTAATTTTTTATTCTCCTGTGCAATTTGAGAAATGCGCAGAGGTTGAAGTGGTCGAACCCCAGGTTTGACCGCTTCTGTCAGGCAGACAGTGGTTATCTGGCGACGAATATTTATTGCTGCGCTGAACTTAAATATTTATGGTCAGAGTGTTAAAATAGCTGTGAAATCAATTAATACTTTGCTTTTCCTTGACCAGTCAAGAGAGACAGGGGGAGATGGATGTCAAGAGGACAGGCAGGGAGGGGTGCAGTACTGAACCCTCCCATCAGCGTGGGTTTGAGTTTCAGAAGAATTTACATTAGAAACTCCCTTTCCTTTCTCCTCCATCTAATACCCTCAAAACCTTAAGTTCTAACTTTGCATTTGCTGGGATTATGGGAGGCTAATAGGTATTACAAAGGTTTGGAATGTTTGGCTGTTTCTTGTGCAAGTGATATTTATTTCTTTTAATAACTGAGCGTTAACTTTTCCAGTAGATGTAAGATTTGTTCACAAAAGCCTTTCTCTCTTGCCTCTGGGATATAATCCTTTCATCCCAACTGGCTACCAGCTGCAAGCTGCAATGATCTAAACATTCCTACAAATTGCTGGTATTAATCTCTGCGTCCTGCTCTTAAATGTGCCTTCCTTGGAGGAAAAAAGGGGGAAGGGGGGAGAGAAAAAAATCAACATTCCTCTGACAGTTTGGCTTCATGAGAGAAATTCCTCCTGAGCTCGCAAATCCACAGAACCTGAAAAAGCAGAGCTCTTAAAATATGGTAACAGCTAAGTGGAATGGGATATTTGGAATGCGAAAGGAGATTAAAAAGGCAATCATGTAAATTAATGATGGAGAAGGAGGGGAAGGGGAGGTTCCTATCAACTTTCCCTGGCCCTGAAAGCAGAGATCACGGCTGCAGGAAGGTACAGGTCTTCATTTCTGGGCACATCAACTCCCTCGCTGCTCTCTGGGTCTGCTCTGCATGCTGTGATGAGACAGGAGGTCATGTTAGCATACCCCTGTTTCTTCCAAAATATCTCAAAATTCGTCCATACAGACAGGATTCTTTTGGCAGCTGCTGCGAGGCAGGCAGTGCTGGCTTTGAGTGCAGCAGCTGGTAGGTAATACAGGATGATTTCTGGGTGAGGAGGAGGGATCTACTGAAAATACGACATTTAGAACTTGCTGACTTGGTACCAGAGCATGTTTGACTGTACATTGAAAACTCATCTGCTTCCTCCCACGTGTAATCCCTTCCTCGAAGTGAGCGATCTTTCCTCTCGTTTACATTTTGCAATTAATGCATGGGATAGCTCCCAATATTATGAATGTAACCGCTGGTTTCCGTGCATGACGCACGGGTTGGTGAATGAACGTGGCAGATTGCTCTTCTGTGTATCACTTGGATCATATGCTTACCAGGATTAAGCTGGTAATTCAAATTAGGTGTATTAAATTGGGCAAAAACCTTCTGGTGTACAGCAGCAAACATTGACAGTGCCACCTTTTCCCACATTGTCAAATAGGACACAACTTTTAGTGACTCTGACCATATCTTGGCTAAATGTAGGAGCTTTTTTCATGTTAATTCTGTCTCTCTTGATGATTCTGCTTGATATTCACTCACAAAGGCAGGTTTCATTTGAGCAGATTACATTTGCTGATGGTAATGCTATTTAGAGAACAACCCAGTCTTGACTCACCTCTTGCTGGATAAACAACCGGAGTCACTGAGTCTGTGCTTGGTTATATCTGTCATTTATGACGTTGCATTGCTGTATGTAAAAGATTTCCTCAATAACCCCATCAAACTCTTTCACACCAGGAAGAGAAGTTGACTGTGGCCTCCTGGACAGACCTGACCGCCAGCTTGAGAGCCATGGTGGTGCAGCAGCGTTTTCTTTCTCAGTGCTATGGATCCTTCTTTTCCTCATTTGCTAATTGAAATAAACTGCTCCTACCAAAACCACTTACATGAAGCACACTTACCATACAAAATGTTCTGCCCTTGTAAATTAATGCCCTTCTGAAAAATATTCCCTTTTTTTTCCCCTGATAAAATGCTCTTTCCCGTAAGGCAAGGAAGGATTGTCAGAGAAGGCTTGAGGATGAAATGTTTTCTCAGTTTCTGTGTGTGAAGACCAGTATTTTTTCTGGATAAAATCTTGAAGGTGTTTGTTTTTTCAAGAAGCAATATTGATTCCAGTGGACCTCTGGGATCTTACTGGTGATAGAAACTAAAGGGAAAGTAACCAAGTATGTCAACCACTGTAATGTGAAATGGCTGTCCCAAATATATATATATTTTTAAGCCCATATTACTGCCGAGAGATAACTACTGCCGAGATGTAGGACCTTTCAGCTCAGAATCTTGTTATTACCTCTGGTTGTGTCATATATTTCAAATTGCGATTGATTTTTTTAAATCCTTTGCTTAGAACATTGCAGTAATTTTTAATTCATGTGCTACTGTTAACCTGGCAAAAACCATATTCACACAGAGACTATAATTTCACTTAGTAGCCCGGTTTATTGAACTGGTGACTCACTCTTTTCCTCAGCAAATACAAAACTTACAGTTCAACTTCTCTTTCAGAAAAGTAAAAAAACCTCCTCTGCTAATCCCAGTGGAGCGGTGGGGTTGGAGGTTCTGGTACTGCCTTTCCCAGTGTGGATGGACGGTGGCTGGGACGTTCTGCATCCCTTCATGATGCACAATATCCCTTCACTGTTATTTAGAAGGAGATCAGAGAGAACGTCTGCACCTCAAAACTCCCTCTACAGCGTGCCCAAGTGCATCCCTTAAATAAATTAGCACCGATCTCTGAAGAGGCCTCGATTAAGAAAATGACGCACGAGGGGACCTGCGCGCTGTTGGCACTCGCAGCCTTCGGTTGTGTCACAACTCAATTTGTGCCTCTGTGTGAGTCAGATGTGAACCCAGAGGATGCAAAATACTTGAGATTTCCATTAGGCTGAACAGCAGAAACCCCTTTCTTTTTGGTGTTGCTGGTATCTAGCTTCATACTAAAAGGTCATGTGGCTTGGGAAAAATGAGCTTTTCAGAGTTTTGCTCTTTTCTTAAAGTTTGATTCCCTTTACAGCAGAACAGAAATATAAATATTGCAAAGAAAGGAAAGGCTTAATTATTGATAATGTGTAAGTTAAGCGAGTCTCATGATTTCAGGCTTTGACACAAATGGATGAATAACATCTTTGCCTTGTCTCCTACATTGTGCTGCTGTACTTCCTCCTTGGCCTTCAGATGCACATCCTAAGGTCTCCTAAGAGCCGCATTTCCCAAGATATCACAGTACCAAAAGACGCAGGAGGGTTTAGACTGACGTTTGCAGAACAGCCCAACTCCCAGTGAGAGCAATGGGTAGCTAGAGTGAGAATTACAGGGTTGGCTTGTCACTATTTAATATGTCACGAGAGTGGGTGTTAGTTAACATGGGGGCTTTTACACTGTGGTCTTTTTGTGTTTATACAGATTATTGCTTACCAGCCCTATGGGAAGTCTGTGGATTGGTGGGCATACGGCGTGCTGCTCTATGAGATGTTGGCTGGCCAGGTAAGAGTGACCCTTCTGTGCTCGCCGCTGCTCAAGGCTCCCTAAAGGCTTGGACCCTTGGGGACAGGCCTGGGGCCTCTCATACTGATATTATCTCCCTTTACTCTTGACTGACTCTGCTGAGAATGTATTAGGCTTTAAGCTCTTTATGTTGTACCCACGTAATCAAGCGCTGCCTTTGAATACGGCTTCTTTGTACTGTAATAATGTTATAAATAACCATCTTCAAAATTGAATGGGAGACACTTGAGCAGGAAAATGCATGTCAAATGGAAGAAATACCATTTAGTAGTTTGAAACCACAGGGAGACATAATAAGAGTGTGTATATGCTCTGCATTGCAGTTAAGGCACAAGAATACAGGTTTTGTGTTGTATGTCCTAGGGGCAAAGTATGGGTCTGGCTGCTTGAAATACGCTTCGTTACAGACCCCTTATTCGGCACAGTTAATGAGATGCTGCTCTCTGAGTCACTCCCGTAGAAAAGCAGCGCTGTACTGCAGTAAATGGCAGATAACTACCAACTCTAAGGAATTCTATTAGTCTGGAGTTGGAAAAGATTTGTGCAATTGGCTTTCAATGGGTGTTAGCTAAAGGCATGCATTTCCTAAGCTTAAAACGTACATTTTTAACAAATGTCTTTAATAGTTTCTCTGCTAAATTCCAGTCGACGTTTTAAAAGTTTTTAAAGTGTAGCGGTTGCAGTTGTTAACATTTACAGTCTGCATTTCAAATATTGGCCATCTGAATGCTTTTGAGAAAATGAGATTTGCCATTAGCTGAGCCTTGCACAGTGCCTGTATCCTGGGGACTCACCTACAGACACTTTCCTCATCATCTATATATAAAAATAAAATGTAGCCCTTGCTTGTGATACCGTCTCTACAGAAGCAGAGTCTACAGCCACGTCTTATAAAACAAACTGGAGTTTAACTGGAATTAAGTGAGGAATGGATATACCTTAACACAAAGTAATTAAAAGTTACAGTCTCCAGACTTTGCCCTTTAAAGTATTTTGGCTGTCTGGGGCACAGTAGCTTTAAAAGCTGATTAAAGAGGATCACAAAGATAATCCTGCACATGTATCATTAACCTGGCTGCTATGCTGGGGGCAGAAATGAACTTTTCTCCTCAGTTTTAGTGATAAACATTAAAGTTCTGTGTCAGAAGATCTCAGGCTGCAGATAGCTGGGAGTTTGGCTTGTGTTCCTGGGCAAGGACCGCTGCTGCGTGCTGGACTTTGTGGGCATCTGTGACTGACTGCAAACAGGTTGCTGGGCTGGATGCACCTTTGAGCTGACCCAGTGTGACCACAATATTGTCATGCCATTTCATAAAAGGTGAAGAATTAAAGTGAAGAATCACGAAACCCAGTAAGTAACTTACCTGTGATTTATTTCCAACAGCCTCCATTTGATGGAGAAGATGAAGATGAACTTTTCCAGTCCATAATGGAGCATAATGTTTCCTATCCAAAATCCCTGTCCAAAGAAGCTGTCTCCATCTGCAAGGGGGTGAGATAGATGCTTCCTTATCATTAAGTTCCTTTTTGGCAATCCTTGTGAATAATGAAATTTGTCTGGCTTTGAAACAGCACTGTAGTATTTTTAAGTGCTTCTTCTGTCGGGCTGCACTAAGCTATATTGTCTTGAAGCGCTCATTGCTTGGTGTCACTGATAAGTGTTCAGCTCTTCCCACTGTGCCTGCTTGTTTTGTGGCAAGAACAAATGTCAAAAGCAGTAGCTGCCAAATCCAGAGCAGAATTTATAAACAGGATAGCGGTGTGAAATGTCTGCACCCACTTTGCCTCTCAACTCCAGTTCTGCAAGGCCATCCCCCTCAGCTCAGATGGGTACCAGATACCCCAGCGAGTCCTCAGCCCCGTGTGCCTAATGACAGCAGCAGAGCAAGAGTTAATAAGTGCAGTTTTTAAATGTAGGTAAAGATGAGCTTATGTGAAAAACTTCAGCGTAAATGCAAGGAAGCAGTGGGGAAATCCTGACCCAGTTGTAACCTGTGTGGCCTAAAAGTTATCTTAGATTCTAAGTTAATTTAATTTTTTTGGAGGAAAAGAATACATTAGCTCAGGAATAAAGAATTCATTTGAGTTTCCCCTGACTCCGTGTGATTCCCTAGAGTACTGTCAGTCTGTGGCTTTTCCAAACCACTGTCTATAAAGCGTTATTTGATGTCTTACTTACAGTGATAAAATATCACTGCACTTAGTGTCAGTTAATTCAGTGTTTACTTTCTTCCTTTCCCTTGCAACCATTTATGAAGTACTGTCCATGAGCTGGCTATTAATCCTTGAGGGAAAAATCATCAAGGAAAAGCTCAACTGTTTAGAACAACAAGGTAAAAGGAAAGACCTCTAATTTTGGAGCCTGTGCCAGTGTAGACGTGCTGACCAACAAAAATGAAACGTGATTTATTTTTGTGAAGTACACGCAGATTGATGCCTTGTCCTGGAAATCGTCTCTTCAAACAGCACAGTTTGAACATGATCTAAGTACCCTGTTTTCAGCTCTCCTGCTCGCTGCTGTTCTGCTGGGTGCTTATGCAAAGAGAGGTCAGAAAGCTAAAATTGCATTGCGCCACGAGGTTTAAGGCCAAGCCTCTGTGATAATAACACGTTCATCATCTGTATTAAACTCACAAATTAATCCCAGGTTTCAGTGCGCGTTATACCTGAGAGAAGTCAGCGTGAGCAGCTTTCTGAACCTCGTAGTCAGCAGTAGCTCAGGGCAGGATGAACGTGCTTGCTGTGCTCTTGAAATGGAGTTGTCTGCTTGACATCCATTCACTGAGTCAGAGTTTGTTGGGTTTGGTAAACACAGTGACTTCAGAACAGAATTAACACTACTAGAATCGTTATTCACATTTTCTTATACCACCTACTGTTAAAGCAAGGGGTTTAGAAAGGTGACAAACATGGGAAGGTTGCTGTTCAGCTGGAAGCAGGATGTGATTCCTCGCCCAGCGACTTCCCAGAGTCTGCTCAGAGTCATTTTTATTTTGGGTTCAAAATTGGAATCTGATCAACTCAACATTTGGAGGGAGACTAAAGCGGTACAGCTGAGGTTTTAAAAAGATGTGTTGAGGTATCACTCCTGGCAGTGTATTAATCATTTATAATTGGTAAAAGAACTTTAAAAAGTCCCCGCAATACTGGAAGTGAGAGTTGAAAGCTGCGTTGCTCAATTCCTAATGCACATATCAAGTGAAAAGATTTTGAGGAGCTTCTTAATTAGCGAGGATATTACTGCTTCCAAGCATGAAACGTTGGTGAGTTTGTTGGGCTTTTTTCCCCAAGTCTGCTTGATCTGTGCAGCTGGGGGTAGTATTGACCAAGATGTCATTAAGGATGCAGGGGAGGAAACTCAGATTAGATATTGTCAGCTGGGTGCCAAGAAATCGTAGGCTCCGTAATGAGATGTCTTGAACAAGCCCAGAAAAATGAAAGCGGGGGGGCTGTACTTCATGCGGCTTTAGTATATTGGAATTTATTAAGTCTAATTGATTGTTGAGGTAGGGCAGAAGCTGTTCTGGAGATTTATAAGACTGAACTGAAAGACCAGAGGTGAAATGCGGGAGTGAGTTGTGAACTAATGCGATGGCAGCGTGCCCTGGGCACCGCCTCTGCCGAACGGGAAAAGTTCTCAAGTGCAACCCTTAATTTTGCTGCTGATGTGCTGCCTCCAGTAATCAAACAAGAAAAGTAATCCTCAAAAAATGAATTTTAGCTCTTAAAAACAATTTTATTAGCAACTTGCTACTACAGGAGAGGAGCAAGAGCATCACAACCTGGGGAAAGTCTGTCTCGCTTTCATTGCAGCATTAAATTTAATCGTTTGGTGTTTTCTTCCTCATAGCTAATGACTAAACATCCTGCAAAACGCCTTGGCTGTGGCCTTGAAGGTGAAAGAGACATCCGGGAACACGCGTTCTTCAGGAGGATTGACTGGGAGAAACTGGAAAGCAGAGAGATTCAGCCCCCTTTCAAACCCAAAGTGGTGAGTGAGATGCCAAGCGCTTCCCTCGCTAAATGTGTCTGCAGTCATGCCTTCCTGTGGGGGGAGATTAATGCTGGCTTGGTGGTGCTGCGAATCTGGGACACTTCTAAAATAAGGCAATTTGATTATGGCAGACCCGTCTGCAAATCTGCTAATGTTTTGGCACCCTGTAGCATAACCCGGTGTACTTTGTTCCTTGCAAAAAAGTCTCTCAGTGGTTTGAATCTTGACTTGGATGATCGTGTACTGCAGGGGAAGTTGAAAACAGGGAAAATTGGCATATTCACATCAGCCCACTTGAGACTTGTGATAAATACAGTTCCCAACTGTCCCCTCTGAACAGCATCTAAGTCAGTGGTTAAAGGTACCTGAGGTACTGGGGTGGATTTCCTCCGTGGTGGGCTACACAGCATGGGAGGGTCATGCTCCCCATCCTCAAGTGACTTTTTCACGTCACCAGGAGGGGTGTTCCATGTTGAGAAGAGCGTTTTGTGCTGGGGGAAATACCCTTCTCGCATGGTGTGGCTTTTCACCCATGTAAATAAGCAAAGAGCACGCGTGGTGCTGCCAGCGCTGCCCGGCCGCTCTCCAGAGCTGTGTGGCAGAAGGGGAGCTGCACCTCTTCAAAGCATCTTTTATGGAAGATTTTCATTACATGGCTTCCTGAGCCAAATTGGAAGCTGATCATAAAGCAAATCTGCCTTCACATCTGGGAGTTGTATTACTCACAAACTGAGTGCTTATACTTTTCTTGAAGTTAAAATAACACCAGCATGAAGATACTAAAATCTTGAAGTGTGGTCTGGTCCCACCATAGCACATTTCATGGCAGATCCTGGCTCCTGTTTAGAGCAGCTGTGATCTGTCTCTGTGGTTATCATGACCTGTTTTGTTTATACAAGCTGCTATTAAAATACAACACAGCGTATTCACATGGAGCCTAACTTTCCCAGATTAAATTAGTTTAAAATCCAAATCTGATCACACAGAATCACAGAATATGAGGAGTTGGAAGGGACCTCGAAAGCTCCCCCAGTGCAACTCCCCCAGAGCAGGATCACCAGAGCAGTCACACAGGAACACGGCCAGGGCTTTGGGTGTCTGCACACAAGGAGACTCCACAACCTCTCTGGGCAGCCTGGGCCATGCTCTGCCACCCTCACACTGACAGAGTTTGTCCTCATCTTCAGCTTGAACCTCCTGTGCTCCAGCTTGGGACCATTGCCCCTTGTCCTGGCATTGGACATCCCAGAGCAGAGCCTGGCACCTTCCTCCTGACACTGCCCTTTCCAAATGGATCCCCAGGAATGAGGGCACCCCTCAGTCTCCTCTGCTCCAAGCTCAAGAGCCCCAGCTCCCTCAGCCGCTCCTCAGCAGGAGATGCTCCACTCCCTCCATCATCTTTGTGGCTTTGCTGGACTCTTTCAAGCAGTTCCTGTCCTTCTTGAGCTGAGGGCCCAGCACTGGACACAATATTGCAGATGTGGTGTGAGCAGGGCAGAGCAGAGGGGCAGGAGAACCTCTCTGCCCTACAACCACCCCTTCTCATCCACCCCAGGATGGCGTTGGCCTTCTTGGCCACCAGGGCACATTGCTGGCTCATGGTCATCCTGTATGTTCACATACCCTATGTATAACCCATTCGTTGTGATTGTTTATTCCATTTATATGGATTCTAGAAAGCAAAAACCACACGAATCTTAATCTGTTTGAAGATGTGGGTATTTAGAGGCTATGTTTGGGGTGTATTTTTGTCAGCAAACCCTTGTAGGTGCATCTTCTATAGGAAGTACGTTGCTGCAGGAATAGTCCTGCTGCTTTTCCACAGGCATGGTTCTCACTCCAACACAGCTGCAGATTTTGGGTCAGCAGTTGGTCATTAAATCATGTGTTCCCTTCCAGACTGACATTTCACAGGCTATAGGCATGGCCTGATTATCTGGCACGGACATTTTGCTCGTGTTTGTAAGTTAAGGAGTTCTAGGAGTCCCGTATTTTCCATTCTGCTTCAATACTGTATTAACACTCGCAGTAGCAATGCTGCTCTTCGATGTGAAGACAAATACATTATTGAAGATGCAAACTTACTGATAAATTCTTATATTCGCACCCAAAAATATGCAACTTTTACATGAGTTACTTCTTAGCCTCTACTAGTAGAAGCAATAGAGACCTAATGGAGTCAGGGACTTTGGTTTCAGTATATAGCTTGCTTGAATACTTTCCACTTGCTGATAAAAGAAGAAGAAGAGAAAAGAAAAAGCAAAAAGCATAATTTTGCAGAAGGATGATGCATACCTGTAGAACAACTTTTTAGCTACATATCTTCCCTCTATAAATAGCCCTTTTATTGCTGCTCTGTATTGACTGCACTACCTCTAAATAAATGTGACTGTTAATCTGGGGACACATCAACTTTCCTTCCAATGATGGGGAGTTTCCCCTTGTCCAAGTCCTGCTCTGTCCATTCTTGTTCTCCAGAGGTTCTGTACCAAAACGCAGTGGCTTCAGTGGGCACCAGAGTATTTGGTGAGTGCAGAACCCGGCTGATAAAAGCCTTTAACCCGCTGCAGTGCTCCTCTGCTTGTGTTCCTCCAAGACTGAACAAGTGTCCTGTGAGCACTGCGGTCCCGTACCTGAGCATGCATTTTCTCTCTGAAATATAAACCAGCGTTTGCCTGGGGCAGCAACAGTTCCTTGCAGCTCAGATTGGACAACGTGTCCCAGTCCAGGTGCTTTGCAAGAACACTGGGAACTGGGACTGAGCTGGTTTCAAAACAGCTGAACACCTCACCCTCCAATCCCTTAACGGGCCCATTTTAATTGGTTTCTTCTATAAACACGCAGCTTTATTCATGTTGCGTTAGTTCAGAAAAATCAATGTTTAATATTGGTCTACTGTACAAGCCATCTTCTACCCTTTCCAAGTTATCCTCTAGGTCTAAATAGTGTAATACTATCCTGTAAATCCGTATGTAGATGTATTGTAGGGATGGACAGAGATGAAAGGGTCAGGGACAACAGGAAGAAACGTTCGGTGCCTTTATCGTACAACCACACTTTGTTTGAAGGTCTGTTAGAGTGGATAGTTTGGAGACAAGCAGGTTTACCAGTTTCCTTTAGATGTCTCCACAATAATCAATGCCTAGTTTTCCTCAAATAGGCACTTTTCTTGCACCCAAGCTAATTTTGTTCTTCATCCTTTTTAATGTGCCTCTAATCTCACTTTCCTGCCTTTCAAGCGTTTTCTGCGTTACTCAAAACTATCCACAAACCTGACTTCCTTTGATTTCTGTTCTGAAGAGTTGTGTTCAGCGTGCCGCTGTGTATGACCCCCTGCTCACAACGCGTCTCTTCTCTTAGCCAAAAGAAAAGGAGGAAGCCTATGATAGCACATTTTGTCATGGGGACCTGTTCTGGGATGCATCCGTGCCCCAGCTCCCTCCTGCAGCCCCCAGGCCTGGAGCTCCCCTGCCGTTTATGAATTTACAGGGGTTTATAGACTATACAATAAAGAGTCGAAGCATATAAATGAATTACTTGAAGCTTTCTGCAGATCGGGAAGGAAACAGATTAACATCAAAATTTAATTTTGTATCATAAAGGTTTTAAGAAGGATGAAATGACTTGACGGATAAAGTATCTCTTGCCAATACACGTCCATAGAGATACTTTATTTTTCCTTTTGTAGCCCGGTAATTCTGAATATTTAAGCCTCTCTTCCTCATCACCTCATGCGCGTGGATGGGAACCTTTCTGACTCTGTTTATTATCAGAACCCCTCTATTAAAAGCTCTCTGTTAGCCTAGGATTTTTTATTAAAATACCTAAACAGAACATTTTCTCCTCCCTACTCATAAGAAATGAGGGAAAGTCTTGCATGTACCCCAAAAAATCTGCAAAAAGCTGGAAATGCCAATGTATTGCTGGGTTTTTTTCAACCTTTTTTTCTCTTCTTCTTGCAGTGTGGCAAAGGTGCCGAAAACTTCGATAAATTCTTTACGCGAGGACAGCCGGTGTTAACACCTCCGGATCAGCTGGTCATTGCCAACATAGACCAAACAGATTTTGAAGGGTTTTCTTACGTCAACCCCCAGTTCCTACACCCCCTTTTGCAAAATGTAGCATGAAACAGGAGGACAGAAAGAAATCCTGCAGCAGGGAACGGTCCTTAACCCTACAATTTTTAGGCTTTTGCCTTGTTGATTCCATTTGGGCCTGGAAATTGTAAGGTTAGAAAGGGTAAGGTGGGGGAAAGGCCTCTTATTTGGGATTTTGGCTTTGCAACGGCGTTGTTGTCTTAATGGGAGATAAATTAATGTACGGTGCCCACGTATTCTTCTAGAAGTCACCACTGACTCGTCTCAACTTCCCCATTTTTTGGTACGTTACCTATTTTTGCAACTTCCCCCTGTCCTTTTGCTCCCTTTCCCACTCTGTTGTGTTAGAAATGATCTAACACGTGGTTTGAAATGAATAAAACCAGACCGGGGACCGCTCCTCCCCGCTCTTCCCGTTGACTCCGGGGAGATCAGCAGCACCAGAGACTGAAACGGCGGCGGCTGTGCCAGGGAGGAGAGGCATTGCAAAAAACATATTGAAAGGAATTGTTTTGAAAATATGACAGAAAATATGACAGAAACAAGTCGGGAGTGGGTGGGAGATGAGGACAAAATCAAATTAGACCCTGAGGCTAAGCAACACCAAGTTTAAACACACTTCAGCGGTGGCCAGATCTCTAGGATCTTTGCTAAGTAGCGTGTGAGAAACTCAAGGGTGAAATTTTGTCTTTAATAATAATGATGATAATACTACTAGTAATAATTTTAATAATATTTTTGTGAATTTTAATCTCCATGAGATTATTCTGTGATCCAGGGTGCCATTGTTTGTTCAGTTAATTTAATTTACACCACTCCTCAAGTTTACTGTTAAAACCGCTTCTAACACCAATATTTTACTATGAAATTTGTTAACCTGGAATGTAAAACAAAACCGTAGTCCCTTCAACCTTATTTACACGTGTTTATTTATCGTCTGCAGTATAGGGCAGTAAATCGAAGGCGTTATTTATTATCAATTAACAAAAGATGCAGCCCCAAGTGACTTCCTGTTTTCTCCAGAATAACTCATGAAAAATCAAGTGAGATTTAGTCTTAAAATAATCAGTTTTAATCCAGAAAACTTGGGGCTGTAGAATAATCAAGCCTGAAAGAAGCAGCACCTACAACTTGTTTTATTGATAGAATGGGATTTAATACATTTTACATACGCTTCATGCAATGAATTTTGCATGTTTAGTAATAACTCTTAATAATAAGGGTTAATAATAAGCAGATCTATATTATTGACATAATCGTATCAAGCATAAAGAGTATTATAGAAATTTTATAAAACAAATTGTGCTTTATTTGTGAAAGTTCTTGTTCTGGATGACATCATTTAGATTTAGCTAAATGTTTTATTGCTCTTGTTCTGGTTTTTACTTTAGGGTTTGGATATTGTTAATGGCTTAGGGTATAATCTCTTTTTTTAAAAGTAGACCTACTTTTAAACAATAATTGCTACCTGCAGGTTTTATACGAGGTTCAATTAGGCTTTCATTTCATGTCTGCTTATTACTTACAGAGAAGGAAATAGACTTTCTTTGCAATGACAAACACTGTAATTAATGCAATCTTCTCCTCTCCTATCACCTAACTAGATAAATTTTGATATTTCCTCTTAAAACTTACCGGAAGATATTAATTCCAGTATCAGTAAATATTTTTTGTGCTTATTTTGGTTTTGTTACAGCATGTAAAATAGTAGTCGGTGCATTTTCCTATTTTTTTCCCCCTTCTGCCTTGTTAACGTTCGCGGCCGTAGGCACTTTTTGTCCGTCAGATGTGCATGCCGATGCCGGGAGCATGATGTCTCTGTTGCTGCATGCAGACTGATTACGATTTTTCCAGCATGTAAGCATATTTAAAAAGTAAGGTATTTGCCATGAAAGACTTCAGTTTATACTAGAATATGTAACTGGGGAAGGGGGAGGGAGGGGAGTCTACTTTCTAATCATCTTTTATGACAATAAAACATTGAACCTGTGCCAAAGATTCTGTTGGGAAGCTCCGGTCTGGCAGTTTGGGAGCCAAGGGATGGGCTTGGCTCAGGGGGGACCCGTGGTGGAGGGGGACAGAGTTTGGGGGAAACAAAGTTGGATGCGAATGGCAACCGGGTCATGCTCCTGCACCCATGGGGCCCTCAGAAGCCGTATTTTCAGGGCCTGGGACACAACTCCAAGCCCAGTCGTGGTCCTTTTGCAACCCCAGCTCTGAGAAAGGAGACCATCTCCAAAGCGTTAATGGGGGAAGCTGTTCTGAGGCGTGGGATACACACCACTGATGAGGGGCCTCGACCAATTAACAGGAACTCAGATTGTTGTCTGAATAAACACAGCTCACCATTTTTTCAAACGTTTTAGGAGTAAAATTTTTTAAACCACTCTGTGTCAAATCTGTTACCTGCCAAGTCTGGGAGTTCATTTTCCTCTTTGTATATTGTATACTTTCAAATTTATGGTATTGGCCATAAAACATGTGGACTGGTGCAGCGTTCATCACTATTTATGTTTTTCTGAATATTATTCGCCTGCCATATTTTAGGAAAATCTGGGTATTCAGCAGATGACAGAGGCTCAAACTGCAAAGAAAGAAGAGGCTCTCAAGTCCTGCCTGCCTGCCGAGAGGCGGCATTGCTTGGGTTTTAAGAACGTGAAGTGAAAAAGGGACTTTTGGAAAAGGAAAATACAGGGAGAAATACCAGCATGAGGGTTTTTGCAGTGAGGCCATACAGGGGCAAAGTTAACCCCAGCCAGAAAGAGGAGGCCCCAGGGGTAGGCGTTCCCAACAGTTGTGGTTTTCCTGGTGAAATACAGATTGTACAGGGAGTTCCCTTTGTGGGCGGTTGTTGCTGGCACCGCTGTGCGGGATGGTGCTGTTCACACCTGAACACGGCACCAAAGGACTGGTGCAACATCCAAACAGAGCTGCTCTGGTTTTGGCTGCCTCTCATAACCAGTTTCTTAGGCACTTGCATTTGCTCCCCAGTGTTTTTCTCCAGTGTAGAAGCAGAAATTCCTCTTCAGCGTCATTACCTCAAGTTCCTGGGCTTGCGACATCTCTCGCCATCACTCGTAGGTGTCTGTAACACCTCCAAAATGTACTGGGAACTGATGGATGCTGCAGGAACAAGGCAGGGTTGTGTCAAGTGAGTCAAATGGAACTGAATATTTGTGTTACTCCTCGCTGCTCTGCCTGTACATGGTTGCTAACGCTTGGACCATCCCATTAAAGAAACACCAGGTGGCCTGGTTACCATCCAGAAATGTGTAATGGCAAGTGAAACCTTTAACTATCCAGCAGTAGTTGTTTCTTTTTTAATACAGATGTTATTTTTGTAGTATTTTTCACAAGATCTGGCTTTCTAGAGAATGCGTATCAACAGGGGAAGAGGCGTTAGGACTGGTTTTCTAGTACTCAATAGCAACCGTAATCCAAACACTCACGTTTTTATAAAGATTTCTAAAACCTGAAAATTCGAGTGCACTGCAGTTTAGGGAGCTGTGTTTCTGTCCCGTGTGCGCTCGAGTCCCAAAGGGCTCTGGATCAACCCCGTTCCTGCTGTGGGAGGCACAGGTCTGCCACCTCAGACCTCCCAGCTGTTTCCAGGGATTAAATGGGACTTAACTGGCAGATTTCTTCATTATTCAGGCATCTGGGTGTCTTTATCCACTGTCAGCGAGGTGGTGGGTTTCCAGAACAGCCACTTTGCCCATTGGCCAGTCTTCTAGCCCCTAGCAAGAACTGCAAATACATGAGAAGGGGAGAGCACATTCCCATAATAAAACACACCCCCTTAATCCGATTTAGAGGAGAAATGCAATTTAACTTTCTGATCCTTCATTCTTTCCAGAAATACAATTGAATTTCCTTTGACAAACTGAAGAAAGTTCTTCTGGAAATCAGCTGTTAGTTTAAAAGAAACTCGTCGTACCTGAATGCTGTTGGCCTTTGTAATCCGTCCTGTCTTTTAGGGTGAATTCAATTGAATAATGCTGGGCTGCTGTAAAGTGAGTAAGGTCAAGTGAGAGAAGGATTTGTCTTCTTGCTGGAAAGATGACGTGGCCAAGGGCTGGGATTGAGTGGCACCACTTGCAAAGTCTCTTTTCCCAGCCAGTGCATCCCAGTGCAAGACCAGTTAAATGCTGCAGGAGACACAGAGGGGGAGGATCCTCCTTAAGAAGATCACATCACTGGAAATAATAACAATAAAAATCCAATAATAAAGCATATTTACAGTATTGAGTTTACGGTGGGCTTTTGGACCTGCCATGAAGCTTCTGGAAACATTAAATGTGATTTTCAGTTCTTTTAGTCGTTGGTGTAAGTTACTGTACATAGGTTTTGTCTCTTTGCTAACCCGTGGGTCGGCTCTGGGCAGTGTGTTCTGTGTGTGCTGTTTGGTTGTAGTAAAATAGTAGATGAGCTAAAAGCACTTTTTCCCTCAGCTCCACACTCTCAGATGGGATCTGAAGTAGTTCAGTTGGAGAATTAATAGAATTGACTCCATAAACATGTGTGATTTCATCCCAACCAGTAACCGTGCCAGTAAGGCTTGGTAATTAAATAGCCTTATAATTAATAATCATCATGCACTGCAGCCCTCCTGTTCTAGGATAAACCCTGAGACAGAGAGGGCAGGTTATTAACTTCTCTGCCTCAGCTACCTCATCTCTAAGATGGGAATAATACTTACTTACCTCACAGGAAGGTGTGAGGACTTCTTAGTTAATGCTTCTACACTTTTAACCTGCAAAGTGTAAGTATTATTCTAATTTTTAGTATTAAATCAGCTTATTCGATTCACGTGGTATTGCAGGATATACCATGCTATTTCTACCTTTTTTTATAGGACTTTAGTAATTCTGCTGACACCGTTTAAAGAGAAATAGAAGCAGATCTGATACGTTTCTTACAGAATCTGTAGTCGGGGTGCGGTGGGGTTTGGTGTTTGCTGGTTGTGCAGCTGCACTTTCCTCTTTTCCAGTTACTGAGATTTCTACGTGCAATTTAAAAATCCCATGGCA